TCAATTAGCTGCCTCAATTCCCACATTTCAATGGTGCATCCACTATAGCAAAAATACTTACTTATCTGTAACATATTTCAAAACATCAAGAGCTCATGAAAGCTACCAGTTAAATGCTCCAAAGACTGTAAACTTATTGGAGTATATGTCAAGGCAGCTACAGAGATGGACATACTGAGTTCTGATGAAACTAGATGTTATAATGACAAAGTTGAGTTAAAGGTGGTGGACCTAATTGCTTTTCTGTTTATGGTATGGTTTTGTAATTTTCTACCATAGAATTTCCAAATAAAAGAAAAAAAGACTAAAATGCCTTTTTCATCTCTTCTAACATCTTGGTAGTCATGTGATGACATTACAATGGATTGTTCACTAATCTCAGCAACTGAACTCCGTTAGTAAAAAAAAAGCCTCAGTCCAAAGTCACTTGTTCTTTTCATTTGTTTCGTTTTTCACCTGTCATTAAAACATAAAGTCTATGAACAGAAGAAGGCTATCTGGCCCTTCGAACCTGACCTGCCATTCAGTGTGACCATAGCTGATCATCTAACTCAGTATCTGCAACCTGTTCCCATTTCTTTCCTGAGGTCCTTTGATCCACTTAGCCCTAACACTTCTGTCTTTCTCCTTCTTGAAAACACTGTCGTCGCTTGAATTACTTATACACTATATGCCAATGTTTATTTTGTGCTTATAAATTAGAAGATTTCTGCTTGTCCCGTTTTCCTGTAGAAAACCAAACAGTTTATTGAGAAATCATCTTTTACATAACTATTTACAATGTTGTGAGAACGGAAGCGGCAAAAGTTTGCGATTCCTGACAATTTCCACCAGAGGGTGCCAACTGGATAGTGCCTCCAAGCGCTTCTCAACGATTGCGGAAGCTCACGTGGAATTATTTCTACGATAAATAATAAATATTATTTACATTTTAACCATAAAATATTATTCGGAAATTCGTTAGATGAAACTGCAAAAGTTCCTCTCAAAAGCAAGCCAGTTATTATTTTATCCTTTTTTTTTAAAACGAATCTGTGTTTTTATCACTTATTATTTAAGATATTAGTTTAGTGCTGGTAAATTGTTGTTGGTGCGTGTGAAGATCATTGTATAACCATTCCAAAGGCAATAGAAACACGAGCGGAAGTGGGGAGGGGTGTTGGGGGCTGGTGTGATAGAGAACAGCAACTGCCTGTTAATTTTGGGACAGTGACTGTCTATCATCCCCAGATTTCTGGGACGGTTTTATTCGGACAAGATTACTCTCCAAACCCACCCGGCCCCATACAACCTCTCCTACGTTTCTTTTTCAATTATCCCAGGGTCTCCAGTGAGCGCAGACAGTGCGAAACCTCGGGAAAGCAGTATACCTGAGATGTCCACACAGGCCCTCCATCCAGCAATTGCAAAGATTGGTTTGAGATAATGAGGGCGTTCAGCACAGTTTCATAGTCCGAAGAAGCGGATCCCCATTTTAAAATGAACTGATCGATTAGGACTCCTGAAAATAAACCCGGAGAAAGTTTGCGATCAACTGTGGATAAAACCCTGCTATAAATGGCAACAAACAAAATGCATAATACAATTTTGGGCTAGCTCTTTCTTTTCAAGAAAAATCCTCATGTCCACCTCACTCACTAGACTGAGATCACGCTCAGTTTGCTCGCTCAGTCACAACTCAGAGCCTTAAATTCCACCTGTATTAAGTGAGTCCAGCAGTTACTCATTTGGACAACAGCTCACTAGTATGTTAACGTACATATAATGTTGCTTGAAATATATTCCTGGCTTACTTACTGTAAGGTTACCTGCGCTCAGTTAAATTCACCTTTTAAAACAAAAAATCAGCATTGAATTACCTTACAACATGGTCACCAAAGCATCGTGTCTGAATGATTTAACCTTCACCAATAAACATCCCGACTGGGCCAGAATCAAACCCAGCTTCCCCCAAACCCCAACGATCTCTCCAAACCAGGTCCAGATCTGCCAGGGGTTTAGGAGGAGACTGGTGAGGAATCCTACTTGAATTTTATCCCCCTTAGAAATCAGACCATGTCTTCGCCATAGGGAACTGAGAGGATTAAAGATCCGTGGAGATCTTTAGAATGATCGAACTACCGCAGTAAAGCGATCAAAATAGCAACCATTTAGGAATTAACGCGTGCAAATGGGCAAGTCAGTATTTTTTAAACATTCCCCTGCACTTTATAACAGTGATCCGTTGAAAATTATTTCTCCTCCAGCACCGTGCAGGCAGAACACTTCATGTATTCTTCTCCTATCCCCATCCTTTTCTCTTGGCAGTAAATTATAAGCAGATAAGATCTTATGTAAAGTGCCATTACCACAGGAGTCGTCGAGCGTTGAGTCTATTTCAACGGCGGTCTTCATGTAGGTTGAGTAACCGCGGCGTCTACTAAGCTTGTTTTGCAAGTTGGGCCCCGTATTAATGAGCGTTTCTGCCTCTGGATGAAGTGAACTGAGTGAGCAGCACGAATTTCATTGGAGTTGGAAATGATCAGCCGGTGTTCTAATGACACTCCGACAGTTCCAGGCTCGGTGATAATTAGCTACCAAATACCATTTTCACTCCCCGACTACAGAATCACAGGAAAGACCCGTGTCTTAATAGGAAAATAAATCGTCACTGCCGATTTACAGCTACAGCGTTTCCCGTTTTTATGGAAAGGAAAAAAAAAACAGCAATCCACAATTAACTATTAACCAGATGTGCCGAAGCTACAAGCCCCCTCTTTCTGTTGTATCCAATGCTGGCTGCCTTACTAACATTGGTTATATTTTTAAAACTTTATTAAAAGAAACTCAAGCGCTTTTAATTCACACTTTTGCAACTGGAAGCTGTCTAAAGTGATGTGGAAACAGTTTATGTCTGTTTCTGCAACCAGTACTGAGCTGTCCTTTAATTACACATCTTTAAATACATTTGTCTCACTCGCTAAACCAAGCTTTTCATTATCAACATTTTTTAAAAGCAAGAGTCAAACTTTCCCTTACGATTATATTAAATCGAATGTCGAAAGCCTCATTTGTGAGAATGCCCTGACTATGAAATTTAGACTACTGTGTTATATAAAAAAAGGTAGAGATCCTACAGCTCGTCTTGTCATCAGCTCATTGAGGTCTCAGGGCAGCAAGCAAGGAAGTTTCTGCTTGTAAAAAGATATATCATTCGGCCCATCGTGACAATGCGGGTTCTTTGACGGATAACCCCACCCTCGCTCCCATCTTCCTCTCCCGGAGCCCAGCAATTATTTCCCAATCTATCCAAAAACTTGCTCCCACCCTTTCTCAACAATGGCACAGGCGGAGATTGAACAGTAAAGGTTGACATCCCAATAAATAGTCAACAATGGACAGAATGAAACAGTCTATGGATACTGAAGGACGGAAGGTAAAACCAACCCGAACCTTTTCTTTGCCATTTGTGTCACTGTTAAGAGAGCAAATAGTCTGTTTGCATATTTCCCTGAATTACTGTCGTTTTATTGAAATCTTGTCCCTGTTTTTGGGTCTCATTGAATAATTGCTTAAAATGAAGGAGTTGCCTTTTTGATTTTTGCTTTAAAAATGCAATCCCGTGTCTTCATTTAAATCTCTCTCTCCCGCCAAAAAGAGAGAAAAAACATGTTTTCCGACTTGCTGTCCTGCTTATTACGCTAATTTAAGATGACACCGTTTCCACACCAATTCGGAACTGTTCAACGAGGAGGTTTTTTTTCGAAAGGACTCGATAATTGTGCATCATTAAACCTTCAAATCAGCCGCGTGTAGCCCACACTTTATTCATTACTCCCCTTAATTAACGTCATAACAGTTTGCATGTTAATAGGGGGAGAGACAGCAGGCTGCAATTATCTGTTATGTAGATAAAAAGCGTTTTGTTTTAAATAAATCGAGAATAGTCAAACTGAGTTCTGCAAAATGCATGAGAAAATACAGAACAATATTTCAGTGATGGTGCATCGTTGTAAATTCGATGAATTACCATTGCTTTGGAAGATTATTATTTTCTAAACAATATCACTCACTTACCCCCTTGCACCGCTGATATTTTCTCTCCTTCGACTGTTTAACCTATGCATTGCTTTCGTTTTCTTCCATTACTGTACTAGAAGCACAGAGCAAATTGTTTAAATTGACATTTTGGATAGCAAATTGCAGGAAATTTGAACACAGATTGTTGCTATTGATAAAATACATCCATACTAAAGCCTTATGCAGTAATATAGTACTCAATACACGAGGGAAAATGAGACGTATCTGACACTATGCACAGAGTATGTTTCGTATCAGAGATAGAAAGGTTTCAACCTATATATTATATATACTGAACGGCTACACAGTGATAAAATGTGAAATCAGTTTCCGGAATGAGTCAATTGAAATTATGTTCTCAAAGCACCTAAAAATAACCCTGGAGAATTGTGAGAATTTATTTAATGTTCAGAACATACATCAGTCACGTCGTAACAATTTCTCTTCCTGGTGTGGATGGACATTCCTTTAAACACACAGAAATGGAGGAGGTGTTTTTTAACATCGTAGAGAGAGAGGGTATCAAGATAATAATCATCACCACCACTTAACCACCCCACCCCCACATAAGAGCCCCGTCATCTCCATTTCCAGCGAATTTAATGAACTCGAATATAATCTATAACTAGGTGAGAATGAGAATATTCAAACGAACGAAATCCATGCACCAATAAAATCGAAAAAATCCAAATAAATACATTATATATTTTTAAACATCTCTGCAAACCTGAGATGAAGCGAAATAGTTCCCCAAACTGTTTTAGATAAAAGGCTTTCAAGTCCCAACAATCTCCGTGTCTGAATCCTTATTCATATCTGTGGATCATAGAAATCTGCATGCAAACTGTACCCAATGGTTACACGATATATGTAGTTTTATATATATATACATATATATATATATATGAATGCTGGCTGTGCGTCTGCCGCCTCTCGACTGGTTATTTCCGAGATTGCTCCTCTACCGACATGTCCGCCGCTAAGGCACGGGGTCCCGGGCAGCTGTCGTGTAACTTCCTGACGTGCTTTTTTAGATCAAAGTTCCGGCAGAAGCCTTTGCCACAGGCGGAGCAGGTGAAGGGCTTCTTGTCGTTGTGAGTGTGCATGTGGAAGGTGAGGTTGTAGATTTGATGAAAAGCTTTGTTGCAGATACTGCACTTAAACTGCTTCTCTCCGCTGTGCGTCAGCTTGTGGTTCTTGTAATTACCTGGAATAGAAGGTAGTGGTGCGTTTCAAAGTTGAACAACACACGCAAAATGTAACAAATTCCTTGGCTTACCTGGGACTGTGTGACTTGTATATAAATTCTTCACTGGATTGTTCAGAAGCGTTATCCAAATAGGAAATATTTCAAACTAAAATACGACTTTTAAAAAGTCGAATATTTTCACATTCGTTTTGCACACCCCTAAAAGTTATTTCAAATCACTAGTTTTAAAAAGACATGAAAGAAGTTCATTAGACGTGAACTTATTACCAGGGCTCTGTCTACTGCAGGTAACGCTTTCCTTTGAAATAACTAATCGCAGATTTAGTGACAATTGCGCCCTACCTTTTTGGTGAAAACCTTTCCCACAGAACTCGCAGACAAAGGGTTTGTAACCCGCGTGGATTCGGGTGTGAGTGTTGAGTGTGGAACTCCTGTTAAACGCTTTTCCACACTGGTTGCATTTGTGAGGTTTTTCCTGCCAATGGATGCAACAACAAACAGAAAGTGAAAACTCGGTCGATTTTGCTGCCGAATGAAAATACTGGGCCGGCTTCAAAGAGAAAAAGATACCGCGCTCGCATTTGCACAAACAATTCACTTTCTCGAGCATTTGGACAATATAATCATCATTCTCCGGCCCGGCCCTAAAACAGCAACATGCTGGCCCCGAGTTCCCTGTTTCTTTTACAACATGGGAGAAAGCCAGCTGTAAATCTCTCTGTAAAATGGGACGTATTCAATCTAAACTGATATATATCACGTTGCCCAGAAATAATGCATCCACTGTCATCTCAAAAAGCGAATGTGCGAACTGAAGCAATACCCCTTCCTTGCTCAGGGAGAGTGTGAGAGAGGGGGGCAAGCGATCAGTGAGCAGAGGGCGAGGGGTGGGGCTGTACACAGACACCGAGAAGACAGCCTGAGATGGCATGTCACCAAGAGTGAAAAACAAACCGCACCGCCTGCGTTCACCCTCTGTCCATATTCAGTCAGTGTCCTTTTCCTCTCTTGTCTCCATGTACTCTCACCCGCTCTGTTCCACCCTTCCCATTACATAATTCTGCTTCTTCCCAACACCACGATATGATTCCCCCCTTCCTGTCGCACCCCGGGGATTTCCTCTCCCACCTTGTGTTCCCCAGCGCACTCCCCCACGGTCCCGGGCCCCACGCCGCTGCCTTTAGCGAATGCTGTGTTCCATTTGTCACTGCCGGCGGTGGGACAAAGCGAACCAGACCTACCTGGGTGTGAATGATCTTGTGTCGGCACAGAGTGCTGGCCTGGCGAAATCCCTTGCCACAAACTTTGCAAACGAATGGTCGAGCTCCAGTGTGCACCGGCATGTGACGGGTTAAATTATAATGGGCATTAAAGACCTAAAAACACACAGAACGGGAGAGAAAAAGGGGGGAAGGGGAGGCGCAGGGAAGGGGACGCGTTAGTGTATCTCAAGAACTGACTGTGGAAATCCCCCCAACCCATCAGGTTAATAGGAAAGTGAGAGAGAGAGAGAGAGAGAAACTTGCCTTGCCACAGACTTCACAGGTGAACACTTTGGGCTTGTTGTTCTGCGAGGAGTTGCCGAGTTTGGAGGAATGCTTCAAGCTGAGTTTCTCGGAGAGGAACTGAGTGCTTTCCTTCACATAATGCTGCAACTGAGCGGGCGAGAGCTCTTTGAAAGCCGCAGGGTACCTCTCCACCGCGGGTTGCAGCACCAGCTTGTTCCTGTCTCCGAGGACCGCTTTCTGCTGCAGCCCCAGTGGGGAGCCCAGCAGGTAAGAGGCCATCGGGTGCACGTTGAAGATAGTGGCCGGCGGGGTGCACGGGCTCTCGGCGCAGTTCAGGTAGCACAGAGCGCCCATGGCGTGGAAAGAGGACTGGTGGACCACCCGAGGCCGGATGACCCTGTACTGCTCCAGCGGGGGAGAGAGCCTGCCGCCGGCCGCGCGGCCGCACTCGTACGGAGATTCCGGGTGGCTTTTGCGGGGATCCGAGGAGCTGAGGCCAACTTTCGAGTGAGTGTCGTAAGCCAAGGGCACCAGGGGGATCATACAGGGCACGGAGGAGTTCAGGTGGAACACGTGTTTGGGCTCGCCCTTGCACAGCGAGCCTGGCAGCTCGGTTGGCGAAGGAACACTCTTTGGTTCCGGAGTCCGGGCCATTATTCGCTCGATGGAGAAAGCCAAGGGTTTGGAAGTGCTGAGCATCCCGTCTGCAGGGTGTAGACTCTCTCTTTCTGTAGAAGTGGCTCCCAGGATCTTATCTGCACGGTAGCGCTGAGGATAAGAGTTGTCCATATCTGTTTGTATGGTCCTGCTCTTTTTGTGATGTGTGTGTGTTTGTGTGTGTGTATGTGTGTATCTCTGTGTGTCTTTACGTAGACGCCTCTTTTGGTCCTAATGCAGCTTTGGACGGAAGCAGAGACACTCCAAGCCTCTGGCAGCCTGGGTGACAGTCACAAACCATTCCTGCCAAACGCTGCCAACGCGCTGAGCCCAGAACGGCCCGCGGACCGCTTCCTACTGGAGAGGAGTTGAGAAAGTCGACAACTCGCCGCATGCACTCGGCAATGAAAGTTTTTATTTGTGTTTTCGCGGTGGGCAGGCGTTCAGCTCGGCTCCGTCACTGGAGAACCGGCTCCTCGCCCGCCCGCCAGGGAAAGAAGCGCCTCCTTTCATGTATACATATAATACACACACACACTCGCCCTCTCTTCCTCTCGCCTTGCAGGAGAGAGAGGGAGGATGTGACTGACACCACTCCCAGTCCGGGGGGTGGGGTGAGGGGGAATTTGGTGGGGGGGGGGGGTGGAGGGAGGGGGGAGAGGTGGAATCTAACCAGTCCCAGCAACGATCCCTATGTATTTACCTCCCTCCTCACACTCCAATAAGAACCTTCCAAAACCCCCCCCCCCCCCCCCCCCCCCCCACCTTGTTCCTCCCTTCTGTCAGAGGTCCAAAGGTTTAAACCTTGCTCATTCCTGAATCATTGTCAGTCAATAGCTCCATTTTTGTTTTGGCTCATTGCGTTCGTTCTTCACACGCCCTTTAAAACACTTGACCAAAGCGAAACAAAAAAAAACCCACAGTCGCGCATTGATTTTCACTGAGGACCAGCTCATTAGGCAGCGAACAGAATTCCTCCCCGGGACAGGTCGCAATCTGGAATCAATGTGCCAACAACATGGACATTTCCGCCTGCAGCCTTTGACACATTCACATTCTTTCAGCCTTCTCGTCAGCTTAAAGACCATATTTCCCGGTCAATATTTATCCCTAAACCAACTATACTGAAGCAGATGATCTGATTGTTTATCATGGGATCTTCCTCTGCGCTGTGACATTTCCTACCTTTCACTCCACTTCCAGAAGTATTTCATTAGCTGTAAAGCGTTTGGGTCGGCCTGAACGAACCGATTTCAATACAAATTTTGTCTTGATATATGTTGAAATGCTAGCTGTCTAAATCACTGATCAGACTACGTTACGTTGGAACTCCTGCTGGACGTCGAAGTAAGGGAAACCCAGCAGGTTGAGAAGCTATAGGGCGCACGTTGAAGATAGTGGCGGCTATGAAGAGTCGGGGCCTTGGATATGGGAGATGGATGGGGCAGCTAGGCTTGAAGTCGGACATTCTGACTTAGAGATGATGATAACTACCACTGCACCCCAAAAAAACTCAGTGGTTCAGGCTTGCAAACTGGTTTTGTAAACTTCTTTCCCCGTCCCCTCCACTCTACTCCCAAAGTTTTTTTTGTTTAAGGGGCTGTTGCCTTTAATTTCTACAAATTACAATGTTTTCATTAGATGAAAAAAAATGGTTATTGAAAGTCAATTGAAACAGGATTCCAACAGCCCCGCTACAGATCAATAGATAATTTTCGATATTTAGTTTTCTAATAATAATTTTACTCCAGATGTAATGACCACGGTTTATATTATCGTGGCCTCACGGATCCAAGATATTGAAATCGAAATGAATTAAAATAATGGTCGAGGCTGTAAATTCGAAACGCGAACATGTTGAAACACGGAGGAAAGGTTTTAATATGTGGAAGAGCAGGATAGGTTAGGGCACAAGAACAGAAATTGCTGGGAAAGCTCAGCAGGTTACTGAGCTTTTCCAGCAATTTCTGTTTTTTTGTTTCCGATTTCCAACATCCGCAGTTCTTTCTGTTTTTATTTAGTAAGTTAGGACACAGTTTGGAGATTTTTCAGCATAATTGTGTGGAGTGTAACTTTCAACTAGAACTGGGCCCTTGTTAACGAACACAACACCCTAACTTTTAAACTGCCTTTATTTTTCAGATGCTGTTTGGGACCGCCAATGATTTCAAACGGTCAGGGCTTTGATTATTCTGTTTAACTTCTTCCGACTTATTACTTTAACAGCTTTAACTTTTTCAAAAGATGACTTTTCGTTTTCTGGAGTTCCGGCCATTGCTACTTTTCCTCCCTTTGTGACAGGAGGATTTTGTTCCGTACATTTCTCTACCTCTGTTTTAATCTCTGGTGCAAGAGTGAGACAAAAGGCGTTCAGGCTGTAGCCGTATGGCGGCATCTTAGTTCCTAGCCTGTACCAGAATGGTTGACAGCTAAGTCTCTACAAGGATGATGGGGGGGTGGGGGGGGGGGGGGAAGTGGCTAACTTCACAGCAACAATAGCCTACTGTGCAAGGCAGGACCAGGCACTGCTCTTTCAGCAGGAATCTGGTGATAAGGACTGCTAAAGGGCTGCTTGACCTTCGTGGTTGTCAAGGCTGTTAAATTAAAGACAGAAGGAAGGACAATAACAAAAAGGTGTATCTTGTCTATAGGACCCTTGGATGGATGATCTTAGAATTACAAGTGTCCTGGGCAGGAATCGAACTTTCTGAGACTTGCAAGAGAAAGCATGTGCAAGTAAGAGCTTTGAAGACATCGCAGTGTGACCTAAGAACAAGCATCGCGGAAGCAGGATCTTGAGCTTGGAGTTCAGAGAAGAATAACAGACCCAGGTGAGTGATTGAAACCTGGCTAGCTATCCCTCACCAGTGCCGGTCATACCTAAGTCTCAGTGAGTCTGAGGCATCTTTGTTTGGAACCTGGTACAGTTTTATGCTGTGGTGTTTAAACTGAGTGAGTGATAAAGACGTAGATTGCAGTGACGTTACAGGCTGTAATCATTGTGTTCAGTGGGTTGATCTGAAGAAGGCAAATGACAACAAGGTTTTTTTCGAGGTCTTCTAGTCTACTAGGTACTAGAAGGAAGTTAAGATAGGCGATGATTACACTAAATTGTATTGCCCTCTGTTACACAAGGAGGGGAGAACATAAGAACATAGGAAATAGGAGCAAGAGTGGGCCATCTGGCCCCTTGAGCCTGCTCCGCCATTCAATAAGATCATGGCTGATCTTTTCGTGGATTAAGCTCCACTTACCTGCCTGCTCATCACAATCCTTAATTTCTTTACTGTTCAAAAATTTATCTTTGCCTTAAAAACATTCAACAAGGTAGCCTCAGCTGTTTCACTGGGCAGGAAATTCCACAGATTCACAATCCTTTGGATGAAGAAGTTCCTTGGGTGAAGGGGACTATCCAAACGCAGGGGCTGCATTCGTTCTTTAATAATTTCTGGGGCTGTTCAATCCATTGAAACAACCCTTAAAGTGAACTCTTTGGTTTAGGACCAGGATTGCATTACCATCATTACATGGTTTTCTAGGGGAGCAAAATGGAGCTTCTTGGCTGTTGATTGTGAGGATGGGTGAAGAGTACCTATTGGTGTTTTTAGGTGATGCTTACATTAAAGGCTGATCAAGAGGCAATGGAATAAACTGCGGACCTTGAGAAGGTGAAAAATTAAGTTGAATGAAGTTTCTGGAGAGTCGGAAAGCTGGAAACATTTCGTCAGGGATTTATTTCAGTAACTGTAGTTCTAATTCAGGGCCATCGCTGTTAGGGTTAGAGCGGATCCCAAACAACTTATTCCTGGGCAGCCATTTCAATGTCACAGCCCAGAGAAAGCGAATCAGCTTTTCTCGACAAGGAGACTACGGAGGCTTACTAAATAAAAAGTAAAAAAAGAACGGCGGATGCTGTAAATCAAAAACAAAAACAGAAACTGCTGGAAAATCTCAGCAGGTCTGGCAGCATCTGTGAAGAGAAAATCAAAGTTCTAAGGAAGGGTCACCGGCCCCGAAAAGTTAACTTTGATTTCTCTGCGCAGATGCTGCCAGACCTGCTGAGATTTTCCAGCAACTTCTGCTTTTGTGACTATAGAGGCTTGTACGGATCATAAATCAACTGCGCGTTCCACTTGTATTACACAATCTACTGGAATGGTTTCATACCCAAGGGCACCTTTTCCATCTACCTGCCAGAAATCGGAATATTAGAATGTACGAATTCTCCATTGAATGTTCTGTACGTATTCGCATTACTAAAAATGATGGTGGAGAACGAAACCTTAGAACAAATCCAGAAATGCATGGAGCTGTCCATTCCGAAGCCAAAATAAACAGGATCGAAAGCATCACTGCAGCTACTGATGTGGCGCGGTTGACAGCAATGTGCATGCACTACTGTCAAAGTCTAAATTCACAAGGCAATTTCAAGGGCGCAGGCAATGACGAATGGATTTGACGCTACATGGACAACAAAGGCTCGTGTAATTCCATTGCGAACTCAGCTACAAGGTACTGTCCAGGCCTGTACTAACGGAAGGTGGTTCTAGATTCCATGGGCACATGGCTCGTTCCCAACTGAGGTTAGTTATCTTAAACCGGGTCACCTTGACCACAGTGTGAAGCTATCTCTGTGATGTAGCCTTATACAACTCAGATTTGACATTGGCTGTTAGAACTGCATCCAAGTACCTTTCAGATATTGCTGGACCCATTTGTCTCTTATATTTGCCTTTGATTACTCTTAATATTGACAGGGAATCAATAGCCACTTTATTGGTTTGTTGGTGTTGAAATGATGATCGAGTTCCGTTTGACTGAGTGTGTCAGGGCGTGTATTTGGGTCTGACCAGGCTTGTGTTTTTCAGCAATTAACTGTACACCTGCTTTAACTACAGTATGTACTTTAACAACTCTATTGCTGCCAGTAGATTAACATTCAACACTCTCCTTGCTTGAAATATAAGCAAAACGACAACTATTCAACAGAGTCAAAGAATTGGCAGATTGATGCTCTCAATCCTGTCCCACCCATAGATTTTTATGAGCTCAGCGCAGGAGTGGAGGGGTGGACAGTATAATAACATTCCGGGCATTTTGACAGCGCACATCTATCGGAAAATGGTGCGAAA